GAGACCTTCTGGAGGTACTGCAGGGCATCCGCCACCTGCTGGATGGCCTCCTCCCGCCGCAGGTCTGGCTGGATGAGGGGCACCGCGTACGTCTGACCTGCCAAGCAGTGCTGGGTCCTCACGGGACTCATGGTGCCTGTGTGGGGGAAGCGAAGCATCGGGACCACCCCACGCTCACCCCACCCACCCAGCACAGGGCAAGGTGGTGTCGAGAGACAGCACAGCCCTCATCCCACCCGCCTGCACAGGGCAGAGAGCATCTGGTGGGGCCAGGAGCTCACAGGAGGCAGGAAGCAGCTGATGCCTGTTGAGGGAATGAGGGAGGGAGAGGGCAGGACCAGGGACTGCGGAGTTGGTAGGGACAACAGAGGAATTCAGAGAAGGGGCGACATTTCCTGTCTCCCTAAAAGGTGCATGGTACCTGCAGGGACCCTTTCCATACATGGTCTCCGTTCAACTCCCCACACGTGGAGAAACGGGAAAGAAACCCTGGCCACAGAGTGAAAAAGAGGCTGGAAGCAGAGGGATGGAAGGGGGAGGGCGAGGGCACTGCCTGAATCAACCGCCAAATGGTGCCGGATCTGGAAAAGCACAGAAAGTGTGCACTCTTGGGCTCTTCCAACTGGAACCCCCAGGAACTTGGGGCCTGTTCCTGACACAGACCAGGCAGTGGCGAGTGACTGTAGGTATAGCACTGTCCAGGCTCTGCTCACACAAGCTAGAGCTAAGGGGCCAGGAGAGACAAGGTACACGTGGGGACAGAGGACAGGAAGCAGAGACACTCCTCGAATTGCAAGGTCAGGGCAGAGTCTATTTATATTGGGTCTAATTAACTCCTCTCCCTGATGCCACTACAGCAGCAATCACCTGCAGAGGGCGCTGATTTCATTGGCAAGACTTAGGCCAGGCAGGGTATTAAGGTATCAGGCCCCTATAATTAGGCCTAATCACACTGCCTCACTGAAAGACCATGAGCAAGACACTAGCGAGGCCTGGCACTGTGCCCAGACCTGCTCCCCAGGCACCACACTGGGGCCCTTGGTTGCAATGGAGGTGTGGGTGGGGCTGGCTAAGTATGGCAGGAAGGGCCTAGGAGGCTTCATTTGGGCTTAAAGTGCTATGTGACCTTGGAGAAGTTGCTTGCCCTCTCTGAATCTCTGATTTTTTCCATTTCCCATTCTCCAGACTGAGAACTGGCACTACTCTTTAAGAAGTGGTTATTCCCAAAGATAATAATGTGTACATTAGACGAATGTATCACACCAACATCTTCAACAAGCTGGAGCCTACTCCTGTTCCTCCTGCTGGCTTCTCCAGCCCATCCTTCTACCTTCCTGGTTCTCTCCTACCCTCCTGAGGCCACCACTTTCCATGCTCTGAGATGACCATTCTGCTCTTCAGCTCTCTCCAGCAGCGACTTCCTCCTCTGCACTCGCGCTCCCAGGCAGGACACCCCCAGCGTCCCAGACCTGCACCTGCCCTGAATGCTCATCAGGGCCCAGGAGTTACTCCTCCCCTCCCCACTTCTCTTCCCTCCTGTCAAATAAGCAAAGCATGGCCAGCTGCTCCCCAACCATCTCAGGCACCTGACCCACTGAGACAAGCACATGCCTTTCAGGAACTTTCTTTCTCCTGCTCTCCTTTGTATTTATACTGATGCAGATCTGCTGTCATTTCTTAGTTCTGAGCCTTGGGCCTGCCAGCTGTAAGATCTGGAGGCGGGAAAAGATAGACAATACTTTCTGCGCATATCTGGAGATGAATTCCTTGTTGGGTTACCACATCTGAATGTGTGTGTGTTTGTGCAGGCACACGTGGGAGAGGGCACAAGTTCCTAAACAAGGAAGGAGCAAGTCTGTTCAACAACTAAGAGACTTGGCCAGGCACGGTGGCTCACACCTATAATTCCAGCACTCTGGGAGGCCGAAGCTGAAGGAGGATTCCTTGAGGCCAGGAGTTTTGGACCAGCTGGGCAACATAGCAAGATCCCATCCCACAAAAAATAAGAAAAATTAGCCAAGCGTGGTAGCATGTGCCTGTAATCCCAGCTATTTGGGAGGCTGAGACAGAAGGATCACTTGAACCCAGGAGTTTGAGGCTGCAGTGAGCTATGATGCCACTGTACTCTTCCTGGGAAAAGAGCAAGACCCTGTCTCTCTTTTAAAAAGAAAAAGAAAAAGAATTAAGAGACTGAATACAGCTGATTAGTGGCTTACCCTTTCTGTCTGCAAATGTCTTCTGATCATCTATTAAGCACAGGACAGGATTGCAAGAAAGATGAACAAGACACCACACTAGCCAAGAAGATGCCTCAGAAACAATGACACTTCATGTGATAGCCTCTTAGCAGAATCTGTATCTCTCTACCAGGCCCAGGGAGATGGGTACAGAGAGCATTCCAGGTAAAAGGAACAGCTTGAACAAAAGGTGTGTAGGGGAATGGCAAGTGGTCTTGAGTGTGAGGGAATAATCGTCCTTGGGAAAGTATTAAAAAAAAAGAATGATAAAGACAGGCCAGTTTCTGAGAAACACTGAATACCAAGGCTAGGAACCTGGGCTTGAGCCAGGAATGAAATCCTTAGACCTGTGCTACCAATATGGTAGCCACCAGCTACACTGGCTATTGAGCACTTAGAATGTGGCTAGTCCCAATCGAGATGTATTTTAAGTGTAAAATTCACACCAAATTTCACAGACTTAGGAAAAAATATAAAATATCTCATTAAAATTTTTATATTGATTATATGCTGATATACTTGTTTTTGGATAGATATTTTGGGATCAAGAAAATGTACTACTAATTTCACCTGTTTCTTTTTACTATTACATATTTTTCTTTCTTTCCTTTTTCACTCAGTCTCCTTTGATTCTACACTTGATCTTAGCCAAAAGGCCAAGAAGTGATCTGTCTCCTGTGATTCTAAAGAAATGAGTCTATGTTCCTGTTTTCAAGCAAGAGATATCCTAGAATGGATTCAGGCCTAATCATCAAAATTAATCATAACTTCATTGCCTCTTCCTTCCTACATTTGATAGTTCTTATGATTATCATGAAGACAGTCTTATTGTCCCTCGTTCTGTAAATAGTATTTTATCATGCTACAATGCTACTACTAATTACTAATATTAGCTAATAATGCCTGTATTAGAACCATTCTAACTCCTTCTCAAGAATCATCTCATTTAATTCTTAGTATGTCAATTTATCATCATCCCCAATTTTAGATAACGGGACGGACCAAGTAACATTTTTGTCAACATCAAAACACTAGCTTGTGATCAAGCCCAGTCTTGAACCTATCTTGTCTGAATTCAGAGCGCGTGTTACTTATCAGTATGTTTTATTGTTTTTATACATTAAAAAAGCAAATCTTAAGAGTCCAAAAATTTTGTTATTACTACCAATTGTAAGACACCTTATCTTGATAGTCTGTCCTTACGTAAACCTAGACTAGATGTTTTCCATATTAAGGGAAGAACAAGGGGATCTCACACTAGCTGAGCCCCTCCTGTGTGGAAAACACTTTCATTACTTTAGCAGACATCACCCCAGTTGTTCATCTTCACAACAAAGCTTGGAGTTATGTATTATGATCTATTCTTACGAATGAGAAAACCCAGACACAAAGAGGTTACTTGACAATTATCTTTTGAAAAGCCTGTGGTGCTCATCTAAACAGATGATGCATAATCTCTTATTTTGTGGAAAGACACCACAAACAGCTAAGAAGATACAGGGGATTTAGTTTAAAAAAGTTTAAAAATTTAACAGTAGTCTTCTATTAGGGAGTTTTAGAAATCCTAACTCCTCAGTTCCATAATAGATGACTGCAATTCACTCTAGGTCTGTGGTATTTCCTGCTCATGCAATATTGTTACTTTTTAATGGATTCCATAAATACATAAATACTCTTTAATGACGGTGCTTTTCTGGCATGTATGCCGTGTTCAA